TGTTTGCCCTTTGCTTCAAACGAATCGCCGATCCGCAAAAGATACAGAAGTTGTTTCTGCAAAACCCTAAAAACTCCAACCGCTGTTTGCAAACTGGGGGGCGCCTAAAGCTGGGGCGAAAAGCAATGGCAAACATGGCCAATATAAAAGTGCCTCACAAAAGAAAGGTATCTGACCTTTTATGTTCTTAACTGTGAAGAAGGGACTCTAAAGTGCCCCACAGCCTTAGAGGCCTCGTGCAAACTCCGAATCCCACGACCCAAACTTGCAATTGAAGGAGCAGAGGGAAGTGACTCGGCAGCGCACTCAATCCCATCCCCATAAACAATTAATCCTGAGCAGGTGGCCACACTGCACCCAAACGTGGCCCACGGTAAAAACCCAATCGGACGTACGTGTCGTTTCCTCATAATCTCATAGAAAGCACTTCTCATAGCTGAGAAACTAGTTTTTTGAGCTGAGGTTATGAAGCCATGGGCCACTGCCTTAATTTTCCCTGTAGAAGCAGCTGTCTTAAAGAAAGAGGATTTTAGCCCCATACCTGCCGGAGCTGCAACCTTTGATTTCCCAAGCATAATTGCTGCAACCTTTTGGGACTGGGTCATCATCAGTTTCAATGAGGTGGGAAATTTGAAGGTGACGACCTTCATAACAGTGGACAATGGGACAACTTTGGATAGGGATGAAGCGCCTATCATTGCTGTTGCACCTGCCCCTACTGCCACAACTGGTTTCCCGGCTAATAAGCTTTTTCTGTCCATCTTTGAAGTTTCCCCACTCTCCCAGCCAATCACCAGCTGGTCAACCATATCCTTAACTTCCTGGGGTACACGGGTATTCCAGTGTTTCCTAAGCCCGATTAGCCCACGTGCATCCAGTACTGCAACGATTGTTTTGAACTTTTTTGTTTGGCTTCTGAGAGCCTGGGCAAGAAGTGCATGTGATTTATCCTCAATAGATAACTCAGAAAACTCTCGGATTCCGTTCTTGGTTTTACTAATAGGGAGCCGACTGGCATTATTTAAGGTGATTCTCAACGACTCGACTGCAATTCTGAATACATAAACTTCAGAGAGGACCTCGGCTTTCACCATCTCTCCTCTACTCACATCGTACAACATTTTCTGAGCATAAGCTAGTGCTCTAGTTATTGAAGGGATGTCCATAAAAATATCATGCAAATCAACAAGTAAAGGGTACACAGACTGAGCAAATGGGGGAACTTGATACTGCACTTGTGGACTGATACTCTCGGACTCGTTTCTTGAAACAGAAGTGGAATTAAGCAAATGTGATGACGACGACGATGATGATGATGATAATAGCTTAACCATTTGAGTTTGGATACTTATATTTGTATGAAAACTTTGCCATGTTCTTTGAAGAACTGAATTACTATGGGCCCTCACTCCTAGAACTCCATACCCTTTGTCTCCCACTGTAGTAGAACACTCGGCATCGTCGGTGCTTTTAACAAAAGGAGAATCAAGCAACAAAAGAGCTGAGCCAACGTCTTCTGCTGCTCTCTTGGCTGCCAACATATATCCATCAAACCCTACGCCGAAAATCTCACTCAAAACCAAGTTCCCAGCCATGCTCTCATACTTCTCCTTGTTGATCTTGTGCATAAAGCACCTCCTTAGCACCTCCATTGCAGAGGTCGGAACCGAATTCTCCTCGCAAACGTTTTCGTTTCCACCAAAAAGTATGGATTTCACGAAACCCTTTTCGCATTTACTCCCACTCCCATCCCTGAGAGCATCACTAGTCATGTTATCCACTTGGACCACCACGGCATCCGGCCGGATTTCCCTAATCAGGCACTGGGCATCCGAGGCCGACTGCTCGGAGAGGTTCTGCACGCACACCACGTACACAACAGCGTCCGAGTCGGGATCCGGAATCGCGTAGACGAACCGTTTGGTGCAATCCGGGATCGATAATTTCCTGACTAACCCTTCCGAAACCCTCAAGTCGTCGCGCTTGAATACTGAGAAAGGCCAGATGTTTTGCGCAAAATTCACAATCCTCATTCCCGTCACGGCGACCTCCAACCTTTTCAAATGAACGGGACCGAAACTGAGAGTGATAAAGTGTACCTGATTGATGGGAAGAAGAGATCGATGATCTGCTGGGTTCTGCGGAGAAGCGGACTTCGTTTTCAACTAAAAGTTCCTGTACTGGAATTTTGGGCATTCGTATTCGTAGCGTTCGATTAAGGGGCATGAACTGGGGGAGAAACACAGAAAAGGGGATTGACGAGTCTCAACAACTCAACGCGAGAGGGGGGCGACTGGAAACTCCACAATCAGACGGAGATAGATGATCAGCCTGGGAACATTTTTTCTAAAAATCAGTAATAATCAGATCACTTGAACAAGTGAACAGGCCTTTATTTAGAAATATTTATAAAGGTGTGAAATGATTTTGTAAATAATCTGATTAAAATAGATAAATAAAAAAATTGATATAAATATAAATAAGTAAATTTTACTTATTTTTTAACTAGCTTCATGCCAAGAGAAACAGATAAGTTACCAGCTTAACTGAATTATAGAGAAACACTCACCACTCTTTTTACTTTTTTTTCTACATTATCTCACTCCTCCGCGGCCATGTTCTGCTCAACCTTTTAATAATTATGCCTTTTTTTATGGTTACCTTTCCATTAGATATCTAATTTAAGGAAGAAGACCTCAAAGACCAAAGGGGAAGACCCTGCCTAGGACCAAGGTCGGTCATAAAGCAAAATTGACTGAATTGGCGCATTGGCCGAGCGCCAATTCTTGTTTGTAAGTTACGGATCGATGATCGACCTAGTCTGTTTTGCCAGCCCGAATAATGATAAAAGTCTGTTAGTTAGTTATGCACCTATGTGGCCTGCGCGCCAAAAGTCATGAGACTTGGGAAGAAGCTTTCTCCGTCTATAAATGCTACCCCTCCAACATTATGGCTAGAAGAGCAATCAATCCATTCAAACATAATAGTGACACATCCACTTTGAGAATTCACTTTCTCTCTCTAGCGTGATGCCGTGATTGCACAGTAATATTGGTGTTAATTTGAAATCGAAAAGTATAATTTTACATCGACATTATGTCTTTCTTGACATATCTTGTAATAGAGGTCGTTACTGATGCGCCGTTTGTCAACTAGAGTTGCTATCTACTACAACCATAATTTATACATGTCGTCTCTAGTTGGAATTCTAATCATTACAGAGTATTATTGAATGTTATGTAAAACTGGTATCAGAATACATCACTCGACATAAATCAATATAAAATTATACTTTTAGCTTTAAAAAAAGATCGGGAGCATACTCTTTAGAAATAAATGATTGTGTATAAGAATTTTCATGTTATAAAAAGACAAATTATTAAAATTATTCTAAAAAATAGAGATTAAGGGGCTGTTTGTTTCAGCCTCTTAATGGTTCAGATGTCTGAATGGTTCAGCACTTAATGGTTCAGACTGTTTGTTTCAGCCTCTTAATGGTTCAGATGTCTGAATGGTTAAGAGATTTGCCTCTGAATGGTTAAGTATTATACAGAGTCTGAATGGTTAAGACCTCTTATCTGAATTGATCAGACATTTGCCTCTGAATAGTTAAGCAATATACTAGCTCTTAATGGTTCAGACCTCTTACTGGTTCAGCACTTAATGGTTCAGACCTCTTACTGGTTCAGCAATTACCCATTGCCAAACAGCCCCTAACTAAAGAAATAGGAGTAAATATAGCAAAGAGAGAATGAGGAATATAAAATGGAAAATCAGAGCTTGAATACCGGCGGGCCTCTCATCGGCGCCCAGTGCAGTTCATCATCAATGGCGCTTCACCATTCCCACCCTTTCTGTCGATTCTCTATTAAGGCGTCTTCTATTCCATCTCCATTCTTCGTAGTATTTGATAGCTTTTCCATTCAATCTCGGATTGATCCTTTCAATCCCCATTTCTCTATCTCTCTCTCTCTCCCCACCTCTCACGAGTTTGGGGATTATTCATTCATCACTCCTTTCTCTGCGGCTCTCTTCTTCCTCCTTTCCCATTGCTCTCCCGCTTTATATTCCCGTCGATGGATCGCTCCTTTCATCGGCGAGGTCTCGTGGTACGTTTTTCTCTCCTTTTTTTTACATTTCCATTGATTCGTCATCATTTATTGTTATTATTGTTTCTGTTATGTTATTGCATTGTTTTGCTGGAAAACCAAAACATTTATTTAGAATCCTACATTGGAAGGATAAAGAGAATCCGGATAATGTTTATTTCTTCTTTCAGATGTACAATTTTGCTGGAATTATGGAATCTGTTGTGTGTCTGTATGTCTTGAATATGAAAGAAACTGCGACAAAATTTCAATGCTGTAATATTAATCGTCTTGAACATGGATTTTAATGTTGTGGACTCGTTTCAATTGGTTTTGGGCAAGTAATTGTGTCCTGTTATGTTGCACAGTCGAATGCTCCACCTCCGGCTTACTTTGTGCCATTTGAAAAGGCAAGTGCAGATGACGATGATATTTATGTAAAGAAGAAAGCAAGGATGCGTAGATGGCTGTGTTGTGTCTCCGAAGTAGACGAATCCTATCCTTCCCATGAAACGGAGCTCCTTAAAAGTCCCACTAAACATTCCGATGGTATGTTTATTCCTTTCAAGAATATATAGATCGAATATAATATGCTAAATATGGTAATAATATGAATACACATAAAAAATGCATAGTTTTCCCCTAACTAGAGTTTTATCATCATTTACAGCTAATAAGAGTTTAACTAATTCTGTCTCATTTAGAGTTTTATCATCATTCAAAGCGAATAAGAGTTTCTCCCTAACTAGCTTGCAATTTTTCAGAAGGACCTTCTATAGTGTAGGGTGAGATTAATTGATTGTATTCAGATTTTGGCTACATAACCATTTCAGAATGACAATAAATGCAGTATTGTTTAAGATAAAGACTTGTGATTGTTAGTTTGTATTGAGAGGCCTTTTAGTTCATCTAGAGAGTTTTGGTTTTAATATAAAAAATTATAGGGGACAAAAGCACTAGAAGAAAACAATGCATATAAAGTTTCTATACACCACATTCTACCCCTCCATAAATAAAAGGTGGTAACATATTGTATATTTTGAGCCTAGAAGGTAAGACACATTCAAAATTTATAAAGGCATGGTTATGTGTTGAGTAATAAGTGGCTGTGTTTTTTTTACCTTTGAAGATTTATTTGGGCTTATAAATGCACACATTAGTCACCATCAAACATGTGTTTACATACGTAGGGCGTCAAAAAGGTCCAAAAGTGCCAAGTCCCATCAAAGCCGAGGTGAAAACAGCAATCCCACCTATTGAGGTGCCTGTTTATTCTCTAAATGAGTTGAAGGAAAGAACGGACAATTTTGGATCAAAGGCGTTGATCGGTGAAGGATCTTACGGAAGAGTGTACTTTGCAAATTCTGAAAATGGGAAACATGTGGCTGTGAAGAAGTTAGACGACTCATCTGTGCCAGGACCAGATGCCGAATTCTTAACTCAAGTCTGTTTCTAACTCTTGCATACACATTTTCATTTTCAAAAAAAGAATTAGAGCCTGTTTAGGATATTAAGTTAGGCACCTAAAGTGGTGTATTGAAAAGCATCAATATGCTCCTGTTTCTTGAATAAGCATTAGAAGGAAGTTTTTTTTGTAACTCTTGAAAACACTTCGCCATTTTCCTTCCAAATGCTTCTTTTTGAAGTATACGTATTTTTCTTCCTCTATTTGAAAATAAGTTCCCTGCATATTCTTGACATTCCTCTAATTGGGACTAAGGTGCTGATAATGGTAATGGTGTTTGCTCGTTTTAAGGTTTCTATGGTTTCAAGGATCAAACATGAAAACCTTGTTGAACTGCTTGGATACTGCATGGAGCGAAATCACCGTGTATTGATTTATGAGTTTGCAACCATGGGATCTTTACATGATGTATTGCACGGTAAGAGAAAAAACATCATCTGATAATTATGAAAAATGAGAGAAAAAACACCACAAGTTTACTTAAGAACAAAATTGTTTGGGGTTGCAGGAAGAAAAGGAGTGGAAGGGTCACAACCTGGGCCACCACTGGATTGGATGCAAAGGGTCAGGATTGCTGTTAATGCTGCAAGGGGACTCGAACATCTGCATGAGAAGGTCCAACCGTCGGTGATACACAGGGATATCAGATCGAGCAACATCCTTCTCTTTGATAACCTCAAAGCAAAGGTTGCAGATTTTAACCTTTCTAATCAACCTCCCGATATGGCTGCCAGGCTTCATTCCACTAGAGTCCTGGGAACGTTTGGTTATCATGCACCAGAGTAATGCTGCTTTCCCCATCACTTTTCTTTTTTACTTACTTTTTTTTAATTGTCTCACTAGCTTTATTCTATTTTTTTGGTAGATATGCAATGACCGGACAGCTAACTCAGAAGAGTGATGTATATAGCTTTGGAGTCGTGCTTCTCGAACTTTTGACAGGAAGAAAACCTGTAGATCATACTATGCCTCGCGGACAGCAGAGCCTTGTCACATGGGTGAGCATTCATTCGTTCATTCATTCAGTCGATTATTATTATGTTGAGAAGTTTTAAACTTTTGCTCTTAATTAACTACTACCAATACCGTGACTATTGCTCAATTTTCATGTATATCTTTAGGCCACCCCAAGATTGAGTGAAGATAAAGTGCATCAGTGTGTAGACCCAAGGCTCAAAGGAGAGTACCCTCCTAAAGCAGTAGCCAAGGTTTCTACTTCTCTCCATACCACAACTTTTCTTTTGTTGCCTGGCTATAGGCAAATCAATAGGCCTAACAAATTTTTTTATTTAAATTAACATAAATCAAGACACATTTAAAATCGATGAGCATTTGATGCTTATAATTCATGCAACATATATTTTGGGCCCATCAATTCACCAAAATTTGGATGCCAAATTTGGAAACCTCTCTACTAACTAGTAGGGGTAAGGTTTGCCTCCACACACTTTTTTTTGTGTGAGATTTTACTGGGCCTTTTGGTGTAATTGTTTTTCCCATTACATCTAATCCTTTTTTGGGTGACACGATAAATGTTTGGGTAAATGTAGATGGCAGCTGTTGCAGCATTGTGTGTACAATATGAGGCAGAATTTCGTCCCAACATGAGCATTGTGGTGAAGGCTCTCCAGACACTATGGAGGTCTCAGGCTACCGCCACATCATAAAATGCATGTATGTATATGTACATATATACACACACACACACACACACACACACATATATGTATATGTATATGCATATGTATATATATACTGTGTATATATATGTCAGAAACCAAAGTGCAAGAACGAGTCTAGAGACGACACTATTATACAGAACTGCAGAAGAAAGTCATTCACTGACTGATGAAATATGATATTGATTTGTGGTGAATCTTCCTTCATTTTGTTTTTTATTCTCCAGTTACTCTGCTGCATAATGTATATAATCAGTATTACTGAGTATTCATTCATTCATTCATTTGCTGGAGTTTGAGAAATGATTATGATTTATGAGTATACTGTTATTATCTATCTACGGTACAAAAACCTAAAGTAGGAGTAAAATATTGAAAATATATCAAAATAAGAGTTTCATATTTTTATTCTCGTGTTATGAGTTAAAATGCATTTACTGTGTCAATCGCGACTGTATACATTACCAAACAATATTGTGAAATGTCCAGTGCCATATTGCCACAGTGTGTACTTTTATTTACAGAATATAAACGTAGAACTCTTATTTTATAACTTTTTCTATGTTTTACTTCTTTTTAAAGTGATTTCTTTGATCTTTTCTCATTGCTAAAGAGAGATTAATATCACGGAGTAATAAAGATGGATTATTGCAGAGTTTTGGTTTTTATATTTTACATATTAAAAATAATTTCAGTATCTAGGAAATGGTTAGAGAGTAAAAACATTTTTCGCTCAATACAATTAACTACTGAAAAAAAAAAAAAAAAATCTAGCTTGTCTGCATTTAGTTCATTTTTCATCTTGAATTAAGAAATAATAATGAATTATCCAAACTATGTTAGAGATAGAGTAGTATAACATTAAAGAACAATCAATTGAAATGTGAAATGTGAAAAATAGCGTTGGTGTACATTTTTTAGTAAAAATATTTTAACCTGATAGAAGTCCCGGATAAATTGAATAAATGTACACGAAATTAAATAGAAATATTTTAATCTTTTAACTGTGCGGCATGAAAAAAATTGAAGTTACAATTGTGTGTGTCACGCATTTTCTTCACCAAAGAATTCAAACCATGAAAATGTAATGTTGATCTCAAAGAGTAATATTTTTTTTTTATTTTTTTACTTGGAAAAAATAATTTTGTTTGTTAAGCATACACACTTTCTCATGGTTTATGTTAGCATTTTTTTAAAAGTAATAATACGTAAGTAATGCGTGCGGTACATGATTACTCATAATTAAACATGTCATTTGACAAAACTTGTTTATGGACAAAACAAATAATAACAACTTTATTTTAACAAATAGTCTTTGCATGAACTTATATCGGAGATATTCAAAAATTATTTTGGAATATAAGTATAAACCTAAAATGTGGATTGTTTTTTAACACTAATAACTCAATTACAATATAATATTTGTTCATACATTTTCAACTTATTAAAATTCATAGAGTTACTGCCTGCACTGAAGATTGAATACACAACTTCTCATTTGGGAGGTATAACAGGAGTTGTCACTAATCTGAATATGCTAGCAATTTGACTCAAAATTCGCAAAACTTGAAACGACTATCAGATGTTGCATTTAACATAACAAAATTCTACTAATACATTAATTGCATAGAGAAATCTTGCACTATTAACATTGACTATATAATACAAGGTATGACAGAATGAAAGAATGTGTAACAATTCCCAATGCACTTGCCAGCTGCGATCATTCTCCAGGTTCTGGAAGCGAAACTAAAATGGCTACTGGAGTGAGGACATGCTTGTAATTTTGTACAACTTTCGAGCATGTTGCTAACTATCAAAAGACACTTTTTTTTTGTGTGTGGTAGAATTAGGAGAAAAAGGGAGTATAACCCAAACAAGCAACAATCTGGGATGAGGGCATGTGTTGTATAAAAAACATAATTTTTTTTAAAATTGGTCAACATGTCAGATCAGACCTCAACGGTGATATCCACCACCAAATGGTTGGTGGCCAAAATAGGTAGTTCCAGGGAGAGGATACTGACCTGCAGTTACATTAGTTCCAGGAGGAAAGCCAGAATTAGGCTGTTGAATCTGCTGTTGTGGCAGCAATGGTCTCATCATCCCTATACCCATTGTTTGGTTTATTGGACCTCTGTAGCCTCCCATGGGGATTCCTGCTGCTGCCGGATGAGCACTAACCATCTGAGTTTGTAGAGGCCTAAGAGCACCTGCACCGGCGCGCCCAATTCCAGAGCCACAGCCCATGGCTTTCCCCATTGTAATGCTTGGTGCCGTAGAATTACTTGGGCTCGCCATTCTCTTTTCTTTGCGATTCATAGCATCAAAATCAACCCCAATATCGGCTAATGGATTTGTTTTAGCTGCGCATAAAATGACATTAGTAAATAATTGTGGGGATATTCATGTTTTAACCCAAAAAGAATGGTGCAAAAATCAATATACCGCAACTGGTAAGAACTTACGCCCAGAAATGTTTAGATTGACCAGTCCGCGATTCAGTGTGTCGGTCCAAATTGTAGATTTTGTCTCAAACTTTTCCTTGGCTGGCTGAGTGGAATAAGGAGGGATGGTTTCTGTTTGAGTTCTCGGCGATTGAAGGGCTGCCATCTGTGATGGTGCTTGTGCAAGTGCACCATGATGTGAAGAAAAATTCATAGAATTATTATCATGTGTAGTTTCTCCAGCTTGTATACACATTGAGCGGGAGAATTGACATAGAGGTGCATTATTATAACTCCCAACAAAACCTGTATAAGGAGCAGCTTGAGATGGAACAAGTGCCAAAGATTGAGGTTGGTGGTTGGTTTGAGCAGGAAACCACATTTGTGAATCAACATGAGATGTTTGAAGAGTTGTTTGTAACAACTGTTGCCCAGGCTGAGCAGCAAAACTTGTCATGAAAGTAGCCTGACCAGATTGAGATGGAGAGCCAGCTCCGTGCTGAGCAATCAAGCCATTTTGAGATACAAACCGTATATGAAGGGCTTGCTGGGTAGCTTGTGGCGGAAAGCCTATATGAGGTGCAAATTGGCAAGTTGGGAGGGGTTGCTCACTTTGTGAAAGCCTAGATGGGGGGAGAATATCAGCCAATATGTCAATATCCTGGTCAGAGATATGAGATGTTGGTTGAGTAACATCAGGAGGTTGAGAAGGTACGCCATTGGAAGATGGGATAGCTTTGAAGGGTTCATCACCAAAGGGATTCTTAATATCCTGCATAAAAAGAAAATGCTTCAATTCCCCAAAAAAAACCGGTGATCCAAAATTTAAATTTGAAGTTTCACATGGATAAAAGTACGAACATATCACTATAACATTCAGAACTTTTAGATTGGGCGTAACTTCCACTAGGATTATCATTGTGGGATACTCAACAAACCTCTTAGTCGGGATGGACAAATGGGGCCAATTGCCAAAAACCCTTCAAATGGGGTTGCCCCACAAACCACCACCGAACTAAGCTTTGATACCAAACTAAATGCCAAACTCATCCCAAAAAGATTTTAAAAAGTGGAGGTTTTCCTTGCACTTATATGCTAGACTCAAACTCGATAGACATTAGACAATCAATATGGGATACTAAACAAAAACCAGCATGGTTGCCAACCATAGATAATGATGATAGCTGATAATGCATATGCAACTTTAGAATCAGTCGAACCAGATGGATTAACCTGCGATGTTCCAGTAAGTGATCCAGCGGGTACGAGGGCTAGTGAATTGGATGAGAGTGGTTCAAATAGGGCGCCGAGTAAATCCACTTCAGGGCCAGCAGTAGTACTAGAAGCACAATGGGCAGCTGCTTAAAAAGGTACGTACAAATATTCAGAATTGCATTCACTTTTTCGTCCCTTGACTAAAGTGGGAATCTAGGCCAAGACTGATTTTCTGGTACATCTGTCAACTGAAAATTTAACACTTAAAATGAAGCATCATTTTGACCCTTTTATTTGAATGGTTTTACCTGACAAGGAAACATGGGGATCAAATTCACTCAATTCAACAGCTTCATTTTTTTCTGGTGCACCCGTATCTTGACTTGGGCTTTCATATGTTTGATATGATGATGATTCGGCGGTAACTGGTGAAGTTCCCACATCCCTTTTTAGCATTAAAAAACAATAATGTATTAACCATTATGCTTCAAGCAGAGGTATGAAGTGTGGTGATATTTGCATATAATACCCTGCAGTCTGGGTGGGAGCACCAGCTGCCTCCTCGAGGCTCAGAGGAGCAAGGTTTTGTTCAGAAAATTTCCGCTCAAGCTGTTGCCTACAAAAAAAAAAGATCATTTCCAAAGTTACTCTCTATTTTAAAAACAATACTGTTGTTTAAACATAAAACCATCATACCTCTTTATTTTTATTCTTAAATCCCCCTATGCTCCTATTCAACCATCCACCTCATTAATGATAAATCATTCTTAAAATGACTAAAAACAGGTGGGCCCCATATTCCTTTATACATGCCTACAAGATTTAATGCATAGAGTGACTTCAACTCTCTAAATTTGGAAAGACAATCACTTAACATGAATGCTGACTTCAACTCTCTAAATTTGGAAAGACAATCATTTAACATGAATACATAGGTGGGCCCCTACGCTCCTATTTAACCATCCACCTTATTGAGATTTTTGAGTCCCATGAATGCCTTCATTTAACAAACAGATGGTGCAGCAATTATATCTAACTATTGTTACCCTTTAGGCATATGCTATATTGAGCTTCAACAATTACCTACATGATAAAAAGGGTAATTTTGATATGGTAAGATAAGTTGTGGTCAATTTAGAAAATGCAAATAAATTTTTTAATATGTGTTATTTAGAGATAGATTACTGTGAATTAGGAATTATAAAAAGAGCCCATTAGAGAAAATACTTCGTATAATATCAAGATTCCTTCAGAGTCACCAAATGATATTCCCATTTAAATGAAAAAAATTGATGTTTAAATGAGAGCCATTTGGAGATTATCAAAGAGTATTATAAGTAGCAAAGAAAAATAACCTTTCATTATGTGGGAGGTCCTCAGCACCACTTCCCCTGTCATTAGGAGATAATAGATAACGATGCAGATTAAAGTGTTCATCATCATTTGAATATACAGATTCATACATTCTAAAAAAATATTCTATTCTTATGTGATGGAATTATTAGTTCTCAAGCAAAACCTTTTGCACTAAATTTAGGATTAAAGAAACCCATTTTCTAGTGCAAATTTTTGGAAATACTCCCTATGTCCCGAATTAATAATCCTCATTTCCTTTTTGGAACATCCCAAAAAAATAATCCTCTTTCCACTCTTGGAAAAGTTTTTGCAGCTAATATTTTTTCTCTCCCCACTACATGACTTTCAACCATACAATTTCACTTTTCTTAAACTTTGTGCCAAACCAAATGTAGACTGTTTAATTTCGGCGGAGGGAGTAAAAGATCAGAGTACCTGGATGATTGATGATCACTACCATCACAAGCAATTTCTCTCTCTCTCTCAAAGCTTTTACTTCTTGAACCATATTCATCAATGCTTTTACTTGTTCCACTTCCACGATAATCACTATCAGTGTATGCATAATGGCTGTTGCGCTCCTCATATTCTCTATCATACCTTTCTCCATGACGTCCATATGAGTCTCCATATATATCCTCATCTCTATGGCTCCATCCCCTTTCCTTCCCATATCCAATTCGATTATCATCTCTGCTTCCATAATGACCACTATACCGACCTTCGCCATATCCTCTTGTACTTGAATAAGAACTCGGACGATGCACACTACCCATTGACACACTGCGGAATCTATAAGAAATAACAATTCATTAAGGGATTTCCGCTTGAAGTTATGATAGAGGAGATCCAAAAACATATACATTTCACAAGAAGGTATTTGTATAATTGTATAAGATCCAGATATACAAACTGTGGCATTCATGTCAATAGCAATGGATAATGTTCATATTCATAAAGTTTGCTCGCACTTGTGTACTAGACTCAACCACACTTGACAACTGTGGGATGATCAGCATTCAACATATTCCTTAGAATTTTAAATAATCAAGTCAGTTTGACTTCATATCTTCGCCATCCGAATACAAGGGATCCGTGTACATGTATAAAACAACCATAATGAAACATACTTGTCTCTGTTTGCAGATGCCTTTAGACGAACTTCTTGCATTCTTTCTTTGTCATTCACTAAAACTACAAGACATTGAGACTTCTTTCTAACATTACTTCCCTGATCTTTGCCACTGGAATCAATATATTGAAAATCGGATAGCGTCTGTGGCAAGCAGGGAAAAAATGAAACCCCTGAACTGGTCCAGTACAACGCAAAAATAGTAATGCATCTTATCCAACTTTCAAAATAAATGGAGAAAAACCTTACATTTATCTGATACGCATGTTCCCTGATTTCATCTATGACACGTTCTGACCCATGAGCTACCAAGTATTCTAAAACAGTTAAAGCCTGAAAAGTAAAGGTACATATTATCCGCTTGTATAGGTGGATTTGAAATGAAAGGAAAAAAAACACATACATCAATCCAAACTAGAATTACTCAAATGTATGTTCACATATATAGAAAGGGTATCAACGACAACCTTGTAAACATGCCGCCAGTTTTTCCCAGTGTCATTGATCCTCTTCCATATGACAGCCATAATTATTTTATATTCGTTGCTGTGAAAAATCGAAATTTCACTCTTAAATGGAACAAGCTGAAAAACAATATGTGGAAAAGATGAGCTTGTAACATACAAGTTCCGAGTGGCAAGTGCAATATCTGCAAGAAGTGATCCATGGGGACCCCATGGCTCATTGCTAGTGGAATCAAGCACCTGTTTTTATCATAGATCCAAACAAGTCAAATAAGGGCGAAAAAACATCATGCTATCAAATACAATTAATTTCATTATTTCAAATGTATCAGCAAATATCATGCAAAAGCAATACTGAAATTTTAACTATTCTTTCTGCTAAATTATTATACAAACTTTTACCCGGTTTCTTAGCAAAGCAGAAATTTATACACAACATGAAAAAATCAATATAGATTTAAATGAGATACAATGATAGTTTCTCTGATGTAGTTTGCTATTGTTTATACTTTATACCAAGCTATCAGACGGAAATTTTGACCAATTTGGGTTTCACTCACTTCTATTGTCCATAGCATTCTTAGAAGCAAGTTTTAACTGGCATTGCTAGAAATGTCAGCCCTTCCACCCAAAATTCAAAGCAAATGCATAATACTTCCCATGTCCCAATTTATATGAACTAATTAACATTCATTGAACAACTCAAGTACTCAACTCTTCTTTCTTTTCTTTTTCTCAACAATTTTATTTTTGCCTCTAGAATTTGATTTTTTGTGCTTACTGAAACTTTACAAGAACTTTTAGAATACACCAATTGTATTTTTAAAAAATAAATTAAAAAATACAAAAAAATAAAATGTAAATAACTTGAGTCAAGCTGTGTTACTCATCGTATAAAGGGAGGCAATGAGAGGATTGAGAACTAGCATAAAGAGAAGCAAAACATACCTTCTGCTCTATTGAAGAGACTTTAAGAACTTTCTTGTTAACCCCTCGCTTTCTGCATTAGATAGATAAACAGAAGATAATTGAATAAGCCAGTTCTACAATAGAAAAAAAGGTAATATATGATTAAGAGCGATACTTTCATCTTTACTTATTCTTATTATTATTAAATTATTCTTATTAGACATGGGGGTAGTAGTAGTATTTCACCTCCCGTTATCCATATCTTCTTTGAAGAAAGATTGCCATGAATCAAAAGATTGCACACGAGAGTGTTGAATCCCAAAGGTTGGATAAAAAATCTATTTATAAGGTGCAAGGATTTCCTAGTGCATTTTAAGACTGCTTCACACTTAAGACTTTTTAAACTAGCTGTAGTTTTATTTATCTATGCATTAACAGGTCACAACCCCTTGAAATTATTTCCATTCATTCCAGATTAAAACAAAAACCCAATGGAATCCCCTGAATGGTGTTTGAGGAGGTTAAATGTACACAGACATTACCTGTTTGAATTCATGTTCAAACAAATGGTAACCAAAATTCATTCCAAAATAAATGGTGCATGTATAGAAGAAAGGTAACCAAAATAATCAAATCCCTACGTCCTGATAAGAAGTTACCTGTTTGAATTCATGAAGTTTAAGAAAAGTGAGTGGTTAAATTTTATCTAGAAGAAAAAGAAATAACAGCCACATCTTCATTTCTTTAAAAAGAAAAAAGTATAAGTGTGAACTTTTTTGAGACATCCCAAAAAGGGAATCGTAAACACTCTGTAATAATGAATTATACTTACAAGTCCCTCATAGTTTGATCAAATGCCTTTTTCATTTTGACTTCGGATTAATTGCGAAACTGCTCTCCAGAGAAGCTCCGCTTGGAAAATATACTAGTTAAAGAAACCAAGAAACAAAATCACAAAGCGTATAATTTATGAGTTGCCAGGACATGGTAGTATTGCAGTGAAAACAAAGAAGAACTAGTGCATAGCTGTGCGAGAGAGGATCCATGATCCATAATCCATAACAAATTAGAACAAAAACTAGTACAAAGAAGTTTTCAGTTCCCAAAATTTCCATATTCAAGTGTGTCAAAACAGAGTTTTTTTTACAAATGAAAACAGAGTATGAACTATGAAGTAACAAATACATTTTCAAACACTGGGTGTTGTGGTTTAAAAACAGCTTTTGGTTTCTTTGCCTTTTAAGTTTTTTAAATACATGTAAGATACAATACTCTCAGCCACAGCATTAGCAAACTGGCTGTGGATTTTCTATTCTGGGACAAATTAATAAATTACTACCTACTTGGAATTATTTGTATTACACATCAAACAATGCAAATCAATTATTTGAAGTCCTAATACTATACTTATCAGCAACTTGCATTTTGCATCAATATGTACTCTTCCTTCAAATCCTTTCTGAAATTCCAATCCAAAATGTTGACAATTTGCACATTTTATGCCATTATAATCACATTATCACAATTCGAAAACACCAAACCCGAATAATTCAGGCCATTGTAGTAAAAAAAACAAATCAAATGAATGGGATCAGTCTCCACAATTCGACAGCAATAACGTTGAATATATAACCTGTACTAGGTATAAAAGACGGCAGCGGCAAAGAAATGAAACCTAGGTCATCGACAATTGAGCAAAAAATAGATGAAGAAGCTTATGATAACGAAGGGAAAGAAATTAACGGAAAATAAGAAATCAGTATATGAGTGGTTTTTGTTCATCGTGATGATCAAACCTGAAAAGGTTTTTTAGGACGCTCTCCCTCTCCCTCTCCCTCTCCCTCCATGGCAGATCACAGAGCGATGAGGCGCGTAAATCGCGCAATGCTTCAAAAAAGGACTCGTTTGTGCAAATTTGAAGAAAAGAAGAAAATAGTGCATTTTGATAAATTCCATTCAATATTTTCGAATAAAGGTTGCGGGTGATCTCAGATTTATTAATTTTGATTTGATCTAATTAAATTTGATCTGATCTGAATTTAATTTAAATTAAATTTAAAAATATTATCAAAATTTAATACTATATATTAACGTAAAAAATCATTGAAAATAATCAATGATTGAAAATTTTAATGATTTACTTTTTAAGATTAAATGCTAAGATGATAAAATAAACAGTATTCCTGCCCATTTGTTAAACTACAGTACCCGTATTACTTTGGACCGCACATTCCGATCAAGCTTCCTGCATACTCATCTTAGTGTACGGATTACACTTTGGACCGCATTCAGTTTCTATTGAAGAAAAAGAAAATGAGGGGTGTAACCCATTTGTCCCCCATCACCTTCTCTACCACCTATTTTTATAGAAATATCCTAAATAGAACTAAAACATAAAAAAAATACTAAAATAGGACTTTCATATTTTTTTCTTGGAATAAGACTTTGCACTGTGGTAATGTCAATTTGCATTGTGGTAATGTGGCAATGTACATGTGCAAATTACTATACTTTTTTGTAATGTATATGACCATGTTTGGTAATATAAGTGCTATTTCGGGAATAAAAACATGAAAGTCCTATTTTGGTATATTTTTAATGTTTTAGTCCTAGTTTGGTCTTTCACCCTTATTTTTATCTACTTTTTATTTATTTAATTTTTTTTAAAATTCTTATTCATTTTTGTGGTAATGGAGGGGGTGGAGAACAAATGTACCCCTAGCATTTTTCTTAGAAAATTTAGGGGGTGTATTCAATCTGGATTATGATAGATTTTTTTGGATTCTGAAAATACGTAGGTATTCAATTTAGATTTAAAAAAATCATTTAAAATCTAAGTATATTCAATTCAAACTTTAAAAATCTTTCTAAATATGATTATATTTAAAAATTGATGCATTTTTAAGAATTTTAAAAATTGTAGATTTTGATTGATTTTGATGCCTTGAGTATAAATACAAATCCAATTTACAAATCCAATCAAAAGCCCTGTTATTGCCCACATTCTTTTTCAGCCGGAACTCAGAACCCTCGTCCCTGCCCTGTTCTTCTGCCAAGTCGCCGGAGCTCGGAAGGCCTTCCTCGGCTCTGCACGCTGCTCTACTGCCGGGTTGCTGTTGGCCGCTGCAGTCCTATCGCCGAGGAGGTCGTCGTCGTCGCCGCCATCGTGACTACCCATGTTGAGGATGACGCCGCCAGAACGTGGTGCTGCCCACCGCCAGAACTTGGGGCTGCTGTTCTGGCTCCTCTTGCTTGCCGTAAGAAAGCCTCGCTCCTCTTGTTCGCCGAATCTGAAGCGCCTCAAATTGGAAAATACGGAGTATGATTTTTGCCTTTGTAAATTATAGTTTGACGCCTTTGGTAAATATGATTATTTTTGTCTTTGTAAAATATGATTTTTGCCTCTTGTTGGTGTTGAGCTTTATAATAATAATAATAACCATAATAATAATAATAATAATAATAATAATAATAATAATGTTTAAAAATAATTTATTTTTATTTTATAATGTTATTTTTAGAATTTTTGGTCAATTTCATAAGTAATAATCAATGTTAGGATAATGCATAGATTTTTAAAATAACTCAAATGTATATATAAATAATCTATTGATAATAAGCAATCTATCACAATCTTATAAAATCCTTCTAACAAAATACATCAAAATCTATCTAACTCTGCACAGATTTTTAAATAATCCATTGACTTTACAGAATCCATGGATTCAAAATAATCTGTCAGGAATAAAGAAGTACATCCAAAAAGGTAAAATGGTCCTTTGCCGACTCGATCTTCCGCCGGATTAGCAGATCTTCGCCGGGAAGCAGATCTTCCGCCAGATCAGCAGATCTTCGCCGGGAAGCAGCTTGAAGACGGCCGGACCCTTGCCGACTACAACATCCAAAAAAGGAAAAAGGTTTAATCTAGGGTTTTGTTCTTTATGCCTTTTTGGATTCAATCGCCGTGGAATTTCATCTTTGTTGGTGCTTGATTTGGGATTCAAACAATCTACTCTGCATCTGGTGTTGAGGCTTCATGGTGGAATTATCGAATATGCTTTGATGTTCCGACCATTTGCCGCAAGTATGTTCTCAATTCCTCATCCTCAATATGTTCGTTTATTTATTATCATACATTGAATCTATGTCTCTTTTTAAATTCCAATTTCAGTTCTCGAAATTGGGATTTTTCAACTCTCAATTCATCCTCTTTGTTGCCTGTTGCTTTAACATAGCGTAAGGGACGATGCCCAAAGAAAGGCCGTATGTGAGCAGCCCTTCAATTATGTTCATCGTACTGGAAGACTCCAATGCGTCCCTCAATGGACATCTCATCCTCCCCCAACTTCTCCCCCACTATGCAAGTTAACATAATTGATTTGATCACATTTTAATTTGTAATTGCTTTAAACTATTTGTTTGATTGCATTTGCTTCTTTCAATTTAATACACAGGCTTGGTTCTCCTCTACAACCCAAACCGTTGCGTCGATATGGTCTACAATATGAGCAGCATCTACGTCCCCTCATCAATGCATCTAGAGAACTTACTCCCCGCCTCAGAGCCATGCGGTGAGGAGGTAGCGGTTGGTTGTGTTCTTCCTTGGCACCGCCCTTATCACTCCCCTCTCCATTTTCACTGTCTAAGTAGTTTTGTGGGCTATTCTTTGGTTTCAAAACTTTTTCGTCGTTGAAGACATTATTGTCCATTCTTTGGACATTTTGGAGAACGCCACCTTATTTCTCATCCTCTACTCAAACGTTTACTACCACAACCGCAACTCTGAGACAACAATTCAACAATTCATGTTGATAATGAATTCAATCAAACTTTAACTTGTAATTAATTTGTACTATTTTTATAATTGCATTTGTTTGATTTAACATATTATAGGTGAGGATCTCTTCATACAACGCAAACTGTCACGTCGGAATTATCTACAACCTGTAGAGAGTGTATCTCACGCCACTTTGAACAAAAACTTTGTTGTTCGCGGCAGCGGGTAGAAATGCGGCACACCTGACGTGGAGATGGTAGTGCGTGGAAAATAAAGAACGGTGCTTGGAAAAGAAAGATCTATTGTCTTTTAGGTTTAATGGAATCTCATAACTTCAAGATGGCTACAACTCTCTATTGTAGAGGATGTCATGGTCTTGCGGTTCATGGGACAAAACTTATGTCGGAATGGAGAGTAGGAGTCGTCTCGATCCATATTGAGATGGACATATGGTGATATACTTGGAGAGTGGTGGATCTTTCTTTTTCCAAGCACTGTTTTGTATTTTTCACGGGCTATCACCTCCACGTCAGGTGTGGTGTATCTTTACACGCTAGATACTTTGCCGGGAACGACAAGAGTTTTAGTTCAAAGTGGCGTGAAGTACATTCTCTACAAGGGTTGTAGCATGAAGGGTTGAGTTTCGGTGATGGAAGCCCTCAGGTACTCCTAGAAACTCTGACAAACACAGCGTTCTAGAATAATAACGGGGTGAGGTTGAATCTCGGCCAGGATAACTTTAGTAAAATCCTTGTCGCCTTCTTTTCTATGTAGTTCCACGGCCCTATAAACTCCATTTTGTCTTGGTAGAGGTCAACGTCTCCTCTATGGGAATCTCCTCCACCTCCAACCTTTTCTCCTCGATCCAGGTTGATATAATTAATAAATTTGCAAGATTTCTATTTGTATTTGATTTTTGTCATAGTTTTATTTGATTCCAGGGGTGGACTTACATCCTTATACAACACAAATTGCCATCACATTAGCATCTCGCATAGACGATAGTAAGCTCGTTGTTGAAAAATAAAATGAAATTTGCACTAAATAGAACTAAAACATAAGTCATTTCACAATGTAGGACTTAAACTTTTTTATTCTCTAAATAGGATTTAATAATTACTAGTGAGAAGAATAATGTCCAAGTGATGCTGGACATTTAGTTGAATAATGACTAATAGATAATGACCAATGGTCTTATATTAGGAAATAAATACTAATATTGAGAAAGTCATTATGTTTTAGTCCTATTTAGGTAAATTACCCAAAAATAAAAAGGAATAACAACTAGATGAGGATTCCATGCATAGACCTCGTTACAAAAACGGTACCACTAGTTTCGTATCCTCAAATGATGGAGTGGGGGATATGATTTTTGTCAACAAGGTGTTTTTTTTGTATTTTTTGTTTAATTGTCTTTATTGTGTATTTGTGTTTTAATTAATTGCTTTATGTGCATAACAAATTATGTTCTTATTCCAAAAAAAGTGAATACATCATTTTTTTAATTTGCACGAGCATTAATTGAATTGGTCATAATTTTTAATTAAGGAGAGTCATACTCTCTTTGTTCCAAAATGATGTACATCATTTTATTATGGTTTTTTTGATAATTTTTGTTTGTTTGTATATTTTTATTAAGTATTTGATAAATTTAATATTTTGGACATTTTTTATTTTGTAAATCTACCGATGTATTTTTTAAAATATATACTCCCTCCGTCCTATAATGATCTTCCCGGTTCGTTTTACGAAGTTTGACCGACTTTATAGGACGGAGGGAGTAATATTTATTTTTATACTCTCTGCCCCAAAAAAATCTTCTTTTTTTCTTTGTCCCACAAAATTTTTTCTCTTTCTATTAAAAATCACTTATATCCATATTAATTATTATTATACATTATCACCTAGGTAAACTACTCCAGACCAGGTTTAAGATCATTTACTAAAGTTAAGAGCTTTAAAGGAACAGTAAATGGAGATTAACCGGGAAAATGGTATGTGACCTGTAGTGTAATTGTTATTAAATATATGGAAGAGTACATGGAAGAATTACACAATGTGCTTTCTAGAGAGTCCTCTTCTGGCCAACCAAGTTAGTAAATGGAGAGTCCTCTTCTGGCCAACCAAGTAAGTTCTCCGTGTCTTTTCTCTTTTTCTCGGTCATATCTTCCTCGGATAGCAAAAACCACTCGATCCATTCATATGGATTTGATGAGGTAGTTTCCTCGTCCTTTTCCAATCTTTCTTCTTCACCTCCCCGGTAACCCATCATCTCGGGTGATATGGCCATCCCTGACCCCCTGCCTTTGAATTAGGGTCCCTTTGACCTGGAGAGACGCGGAGAAAGAAACTCGGGAAGAGTGGGAGAACCGGTTGTAGGATGTCGGCTATTTCCCTCTCCCTACTGACTGTCTGGGAGATTCGTCCCTTTATGTCGAGAATCCCCCTCAACAAGGCTCGACAACTCCTCCTGGACGGGTACGTTCTTTATTATGACCCCGAATGGTCCATTATCGTTGCCCTTCACCACGGGACCCGAGTGGGCTTTCACATTAAATCTCTTGAGTCTGTCCTCTTCTAATCGGGGTCTGCCAAGCTTTTTCGATCCTCTACGACCAGATCACCTTTAATGCCCAACGTCTTCTCAACTGTTTCGTTAACATCTGCTACTCACTCAGCATCGATTCTTCCCTCATCTTTATTTATCTATTCGAAGTCCTTCTCGGGAAGATCGAGTGTGTGGAATTTGTCTACTTCAAATCCCGGCAAGGTTGCGCCTTCGTAACCCTCCACTTAATAACCAGTGGTGAAAGTCAGTCTTCCTCTGTCAATTTTCCAGTGGATGTTTTCCCCTCACCGGCATGAGTTGGAGTGATCATTTACTGAAACATGAATACACATTGTTGGCTGACTCTCCTGACTGGAGGAAGCGTTGAAGAAGCTTTTCGAAGGCAACTCGAACACAGGGAGAAGTATCACTGTGGAAGCTGGTTTCGCCGTGTCAACTGGGCTGCGACAGGAGGGCCCATGAAGTAGAGGGGCACAAGATACCTCCCCGGGATACGATGCAAAGGCCGGGAGCTCGACGCGCCCTGATTTGTCTTTAGTGAATAACTATTTATACAAAATCCTTAAAGGAGACCTCATATGTGAGTTGATGAAGAAGTTTTCAAACATTCTCCCAACAACCTTCGATGCAATAGCGGAAGGATTTTGGAAGACGGGGAAAGCACCTTATAGGATTAATTTGAAGATGCTTGGAGAGACAAAGGTGTACCACAGTACTCTCTTAAATGAGGTTTTAGAGCTTTATTCGTTCATTGATAATTGCGACCCCATTTCTTGAATCTATTATCCCAGCCTTTCTTTCTCTATCAAGTTGTTGAAGACCTGTACAAATTATTTGATCAATCTTGATGTAAAACAACTATCTATTTGTTTAACTTATTTGTATTAAGGCACTAGCTTAAACTTATTTGTCCTTTATCTTCTTTTTGAATCATTCCAATAACATATAAAGTGTTTAGCTACTTTTGCAACTTTTTTCTCATCTTGTTCTCATGATTTCTCAAAGTAAGCTGCCTTGATTTCACCTTTTAATGTAACCGATATTTCGTAATAGTAAGGGTTTGAACCTTGAAGGGTCTGTTTGGTTGCAGTTTCTTGTAATTCTTTTAGCCGACATGAGTTATGACTTAATGCATAGATATTGGCATTCAACTGAGTTTTAAAAAAACTATTTTCTACAAACCAGAAAGGTTTTTTTTTCTAAATTTTGTTTGTTCATGCATAATATTAATTAAAATTAATTTTAATTAAATTTTTTAAATTGAACACACACACATATATATTAAAAAGTTTTTAATCAAAATTGATTTTAATTAATATCTTATAGCGTAAAACAAAACTTAGAGAAAAATTTTCTTAAAATTATTTTTTCCTATTATTTGTTGATTATTGAAAAGTATTTTTCGTGAAACTAAGTTAAATGCCAATATGTATGTATAAAGTCATAACTCAGGCCATCTAAAAGAATTACTTAAAACACTGCAGCCCACCACACCCCTTTAAAGTTTAAACTCTTACTATTACGGAATATCAGTCACATGAAAATGTGATGAACGTAGCTTACTTTGAAAAATTCAGTGAGAGCAAGATGAAAAAATTGCAAAAGTAGCTGAGCACTTTATATGTAACTAGAATGATTCAAAAAGAGGATAAATGACAAATAAGTTTGAGTCAGTGTTCTAATGCAAATAAGTTAAGCAAATAGATAGATGTTTTACATCAAGATTGATCAAATAATTTGTACAAGTCTTCAACAAACTTGATAGAGAAAGATAAGGTAAAAGATTAAAGAAACGATGGCGGGATTATCAATAAAAGAATAAAGGTCTAAAACCTCGTTTAAGAAAGCACTCTAGTATACCTTTGTCCATCCAAGCTTCTTAAAATTAATCCTATAAGGTGCTTCCTCTGCTTTTCAAAATTCTTTCGCTATTGCACTGAAAGTTGTTGAGAGAATGCTTGGAAACTTCTTCATCAACTTACATATGAGGTCTCCCATAAGGATTTTGTGTGGATAGTTATTCATTGAAGACAAACTTAGGCGAGTTGAGCACCCGACCTCTGTGTCTTAGTTCGGGGGAGGTACCCTGTGCCCCTGCTTCATGGGCCCTTGATGTACGTGCCGCACCTCGATTGAAATGACAAACCCAGCTTCTAATGTGAAATTTCCCCATGTGTCTGGTCGCCTTCTTGAACTTCTCCAAGAGTCAGTCGGCAGGGCGTATTCATGGTTTAGTAGATGATCACTCCAACTAAGGCCGTGAGGGTGAAATCATCCACTAGAAACCCAAAAAAGGCAAAGGCTAACTTCCACCCCTGGTTACTAGGTGGAAGGTCAGATATGAAGGTGTGACCTTGCCGGGATTTGAAGTATACAAATCCCTCACACCCAGTCTTTCTAGAAAGAACTTGGAACAGCAGATATATAAAGAGGCAAAGGAAAGGATCGATGTCGAGTGATAAACAAAACAGCTGAGAAGACGTTGGGCGTTAAGGGTGATTTGATCAGTGAGGATTGAAAAAGCTTGGCAGCAAAGGACGAAGGGGGAAGACAATTTCCCCTCAAGAGATTTGATGTGAAAGTCCACTTGGATCCTTTAACGTCCCAAAATATACCCTAAAATTTTATAGTAATTTCTCAATAAATTTACTCTGTCCTTTGCCGATTAGGGTTTGCTAAGCTTTTTCAATCCTCCCTGATCAAATCACCCTTAACGCCCACCGTCTTCTCGACTTCCAGAAGATGAAGTTTGACTTGCTAGGATTAAAAGATGAAGTTGAAATAGGCTCGATATCAAGTTGAAAGTATGACATGCTAGGATTAAAAGATGAACATCCATTATAACAATCAACAGATTGTTTATTCTTTTTCTGAGAAATCTTTCAAATTGTTTATCCATGTAAACATTTTCCTGAGAAAATTAACTGACCATGGCAAATGTTTTTTATGACCCGAACATAAAATCAAAATTTTAGTTTGTTAAAAGAAATAAGTCAAGTACAAAGTCAACCTATCTTGAAATTTAGATGCTGATATATCTAATCTTTACCTTTGATTGTTTCGTCTTTGACCCTGATGGAAGTCCCATCCATGTTGCCACTTCTCAACATAATATTCATCCTGTACAAGTCAAGCTCTCTCTTATATGAATTCCTCATAAATGCGTTTAAATTGGCCCCGGTTATCCTTAAACTTGATATCGTAATCAAACTTTTCAATCATTGATATACTAGTATCATCATCTTGGATCCCAAATTGCGCTGTCGATGATGCACCACACAGTTGTTGAAAATGGGGCCAAGCCTAAGGAATTTTTGTGAATCACATTGACTTTGCAAAGTACTTGGCAATTTACAACCAAGATAGGGCCTCCACTCGATGAACTATTCATAGAAACAATAAAAGTTAGTTTCATACAAACAACCTAAGGTGCCAAGCCTAAGAAATCTCTCAATCAAAGGTCTTAGAAGTGACCTCATTTTCATCATCAACATCATCGAGAAAAGCTTTAACTGCTTTGACGTAACTGCCTCTGTTGTCATTCTATTTCTTTTGCACGTTTTTAAGAACCCATGACAGAAGAGGCTGCGTGTCCGTTTTTTCTGACACGCATTATTAGATTTTTTTCCATCTTCCAGAGTGAATAAGATGACAATGTTTTTCATGACTCTCTTTGATGAAGTTGCAACCATCTCTCTCCATTTAACAATTTCATGTAGTTAATACAATAATGTTAGATACAAGCAATTTAAATTTACGGATGCAATTCTTACATGAGACATTAGTGATCAGTGGGGTTTACCTTATTTTTGCTGAAAATTGACTCCTCAAACAGGTCATGTTTGGGGCGCACTTATGTGTGCCAACGTAATGCTCTTGGCCACAAGGTGCTTTTGTCCTCCGCCACAGTGCATATTTCATTTTTCTTCAAATTTGGGAAGGTCTCGAATGCCCAGATTTGTAGTGGAAACAAGAAGCCCGGAAATGTAAACCGACAATGTCCACCCGTCTTGAGAATTATGGATGTAATGCCCTGAAAACTGGTCTAGAAATTTGCACTTTCTAGTACAAAGAAATTTTAATTTTTTTAAATACTAATCATTTCTTTGTACTAGAAAGTTCAAATTTCTGGACCAGTTTTCAGGGCATTACATCCACAATTCTCAAGACGGGTGGACATTGTCGGTTTACATTTTCAGGCTTCTTGTTTCCACTACAAATCTGGGCATTTGAGACCTTCCTGAATTTGAAGAAAAATGAAATATGCACTGTGGCGGAGGACAGAAGCACCTTGTGGCCAAGAACATTACGTAGGTACACATTAGTGCGTCCCAAACATGATATGTTTGGGGAGTCAATTTTCGGCAAAAATAAGGTAAACCCCACTGATCACTGATGTCTCATGTAAGAATTGCATCCGTAAATTTAAATTGCTTGTATCTAACATTTTTGTATTGACTACATGAAACTGTTAAATGGAGAGAGATGGTTGCAACTTCATGAGAGAGAGTCATGACAAACATTCCCATCTTATTCACTCTAGAAGATGGAAAAAAATCTAATAATGTGTGTTAGAAAGAACGGACACGCAGCCTCTTCTGTCATGGGTTCTTAAAAACGTGCAAAAGAAATGCAATGACAACAGAGGCAGTTACGTCAAAGCAGTTAAAGCTTTTCTCGATGATGATGAGAATGAGGTCACTTCTAAGACCTTTGATTGAGAGATTTCTTAGGCTTGGCACCTTAGGTTGTTTGTATAAAACTAACTTTTATTGTTTCAATGAATAGTGCATCGAGTGAAGGCCCTATCTTGGTTGTAAATTGCCAAGTACTTTGCAAAGCCAATGTGATTCACAAAAATTTCTTAGGCTTGGCCCCATTTTCAACAACTGTATGGTGCATCATCGACCAGATCGTGTGTTAGCTCAATTTGGGATCCAAGATGATGATACTAGTATATCAATGATTGAAAAGTTTGATTACGATATCAAGTTTAAGGATAACCGGGGCCAATTTAAACGCATTTATGAAGAAACATACAAGAGAGAGCTTGACTTGTACAGGATGAATATTATGTTGGGAAGTGGAAACATGGATGGGACTCCATTAGGGTCAAAGACAAAACAATCAAAGGTAAAGATTAGATATATCAGCATCTAAATTTCAAGATAGGTTGACTTTGTGCTTGACTTATTTCTTTTAATAAACTAAAATTTTGATTTTATGTTCGGGTCATAAAAAACATTTGCCATGGATTTTCTCAGGAAAACGTTTACATGGATAAACAATTTGAAAGATTTCTCAGAAAAAGGATAAACAATCTGTTGATTGTTATAATGGATGTTCATCTTTTAATCCTAGCATGTCATACTTTCAATAATTGAGCATTAATAGATTGTTTTTTATTTGTACTTTGCAGCAAGTTGTTCAAATTTCTCGTTGTGATATTGAAAGTCTCGCTCCTAGAGGATCCTTGAGTGTCAATATTATGGACTTTTGCTTTCAGTAAGTGTTTAATTTATTACAATTTCCACCCTAAATAACTAAATAATTAATTCAAGCATTAATTTAATCAACTTTTATCCAATAATTTATTGTGATATTGAAAGTGTCGCTCCTAAAGGATGCTTGACGGACAATATTATGGACTTTTACTAATTAATTCAAGCATTAATTTTATCCAATAATTTTGAAATCTAATCACACTATTTGTGCTTTTGGCCAAACATTTCCAGCGGGAGGCATCTCCAACAAATGGAACGATAAGTGACTATTACTTCTTCAACACATTTTTTTACACCAAGTTGGTATCATCTGTATCAGACAAGGTTTTATCTTTCTTCTTCTCTTGTAGATGATTGCCTATTATGTAGTGTAGCCTTTGTATACTTAACTGTCAAACTATTTGACTATTATGATTATCATTTCTCCCACTCATGCTTGTGTGGTCCGTGTATTCCTTGAATAGGTAATTGGTGAAATTTCATTCAACATGCTTAGAAAGTGGTGGGATAGCAATACATTTCAAAAAGCATATATACTTATCCCAATTTCTGGAAGGTAAGTTTTCCGAAGATATTTACATTCAAAAGCAATTTGTTTTAAATCAGATATACTGATTCAGTTTCTTTTCTTTTATCCAGTGCACATTGGAGTTTGGTCATAATATGTATGCCTAGCAAAAAGGATAAATCAGGGCCAATGATCCTTCATTTGGATTCACTTTCTGGAATCCATGATAGAACTAAAATTTTTAAGAACTGTAAAATGTAAGACAAAAACAAGCCAAATGATTATCTTATCAGAATATTGTAACATACATGTGTAACCAAAGATGACTGCTTCGCCACCTAATGGAATTCTAAAACCTAATAGACAATTTGAATCTTTGTTTTTAGCTTATTGGAGGAAGTCACGTGCGCAGGATTGTTGAAGAAGAAGTGCAAGTTTTTTATTTACTGAAAACCATCAAATGGATTACGTGAAACATCAGACACAAGATTCGAAATTCAATTTTAAAATTGGCTATTTCATAATTGCACTTCAAACCAAATTGAGCAAGAGTTTTAGCTTTTGAAACTAGCTTCCTATGAGTATATATGTGGCATGGTCAATATTGAGGTCTAAATCATCTATATGTGATTCTCTTTCCAAAATGGAAAATTTAGGTTTTATGTGATTTGTTTTTTTCTGCCAGGTTCCACAGCAAACAAATGGTTATGATTGTGGTGTTTATGTTCTTCTCTTTGTTGAAAACTTCATCAAAAAGGCCCCAGAAAGAATGACAAAGGAACATATAAAAATGGTACATGTTGATTGTGATATCTAGATAAGATTTTCTCTTTCTGTCCGTTTTTTACTTGGCTAACCCGTTTCAAATTTTCAGTTTCAGCGGGATTGGTTCACACCCAACGAAGCAGAGGCCTATAGAGCAAAATTATATACAGAACTTTCTAAAAAATTGCATAAGGTGCCATCACCCACCCACACCACCATTTCTTTGCAAGATCAACAAAATGATGATGACACTATTACATGTTGATGAATTGTCTTACGAAGATGGTGATGATGCAGAGTCCTCAAAAACAGTATTATCTCTTACCTTCTCTTTTTTTTTTCCCAAAATGTTCCAAACACAACTAAATATTTTCATGTAGGTCATTGAGGAAACAGAAATAGATGATTATGAGCCTCTGAGTGCTTTCATTGCAAAATTAAAAGATAAAAAGAAAAAGAAGACGAAGGAAGACCCTTGTTTAAGAAGTGGAAGAAGGATAGCAGAAAACCCATCATGGATATTATCATCTTTAATGTGTGAACCATTCTTATTTTGTTGTTGTATTGATATTTGTGTTCCTAGGAATCATATCTTGGAACATATATCTTTTCTTGATCAGGAAATAAAATTTGTTACTCATGTTTTTATAAAGAACAACAACTGATGAAGAAGATAGTTAAAGCATTGAGATTTTTTTGTTATGCCCTCCCTATAAATCATACAATTAATGAGTTTTTTCTTTCTGAAACATTAAAAAAGGTAAAATGTGTAGTATATGGGAAAGAATGCTGGACTGCAACCTTACTTCCCTATGTGATCACTTCCGATTGGAGGGATCCCATAAAGTCGTCTTCTCGGACATTGTCTTTCAAGCTATGGGTTCTACCTACCATCTTCACTGCCTCATTCTCTCAAGGATCTAATACTTTCGGTGTCAAACTTGCTTTTATTTTAATTCAGTATGAACAATGGTAATGGCAGAATTATGTGCATGAATTCAAGTTGTGGTGAGTGCATATGTTTCTATTGTTAATTCCATTTCAAATGTTCTTACCTTTTTGTTTTTATATGATATTCATTCACTTATTCTATATTAATTTTATGTGTAATAGTTGGGTTTGTGGGAATGTGTTGGAGGGACCTTAGAATGAAGCAAATGCTTGGTTTTGAACTTGCATGTGGTTGATAAAAATGTCAATGTGGTTGGGCTATTGTGAGGGGTATGGCTTAATATCTATACAAACATGATAAAAACCATATCCAATTCTTTATTTTTTTCCAGATATTCATTTGTAATATAGGACAAAGAGTGTTGAAGATATAGGAATCGAGACTTTAAATTTGGATGAAAATGAGAATACTTAATTTTTTGTTCTTTTCCCTCTCAATTTCCTTTCAATTTCCTTGAACCAAACATAGTGTAAAACAATTCATTTATCTCCCTAATACAGACAATTAGGTCTAATGATCAAAAGTCCAATTAGAGGGTAGCAGATGTTTAGCATGTCAAGGACCAAGTGAAACGTTCGTTCTTTGCCCGATGAATTTTAATTCCATAGTTTTAAATTCCGTGTACCAAACGGATCCAAATGGTTTTTGTTCAATCAAAGTACTGAGAAGGTTGACGGCTTTAAATCGTTGAGGGGGGTTCCCATGACATTAGGAACCAATGTCATGGGATGACCCAGGAGAGCTCCGGTGCCCCGTTCGTAAAATTGATGGTTCCTACTTCCTACTCCCCCTAACCCTCCCGGTAAACCCCTTCATCCCGCCCCGACCCAAACATGCCTCCCACCACTTTCAATTGCACCCCCAAGTTAATTTTGACTTTGGAGTCGAATTTTGACTCCAAAGTCAAAATTAGCTTGGGGGTGCAATTGAAGGGGGTGGGGGGCATGTTTGGGTCGGGGCGGGGTGGGGGTTTACCGGGGGGTTAGGGGGGTAGAAACCGTCAATTTTACGAACGGAGCACCGGAGCTCCCCCGGGTGGGAACCAAGATGTAAATCGTTTCCTCTCTTTCTTGGCTTAAAGGGCTCAACCTTTCTTTAGCATCATCAAGAAGAAGGATTGTTTGAATGGACCTCGGAATGCCAATAAGCCCTCAACGAGGAAATATATTGGAGGTGGAGCTTGGAAAAATAAAAGAAACAAATTTGAAGGCCGGTGTTTTAATTGCCACAAAAAAAAAGGGTCACATGGCAAAAGATTCCTAGCTGGTCAAAGAAGGAAACAATAGAAAATAACATTGCCACTTGTACATTAGAGGAAGAGCAGGATGTTGAGGCCTTCATTGCTGTAGATGAAGCTGAGTTGGCTTTCTCGGTCATTACAATAACAAATCAGATTAACTATGGAAGGGACCGTTGATCCATGATCCCTCTAATCACATGATAGGTGTGACAAAAGGAAGTTGGAGAATTTTGGATATTAAAGGGAATTCATGTGGTGGTAACTGCAATAACTCAAGATTACCTATATCGCACATCGGTAGTGCTAGTGAATCTCCCCGAGTAGTCTTGTGGTAAGAATTCTCATTAGAGAAGGTCTATCATGTTCCAGGCATGAAGAGAAATCGCATTCTGGTCATTATGTCTTATCTAAACCACAAGATGTGAAGGTGTACCGAGACCTAAAGACTAATGAAGAGCCAATACTAAAGGGACAATGACTCGAGTAAGTTTAAGTTGCACACATAGACAAGGCGAGAAAGAACAAGACCGCTGACCTGTGGCATATTAGGCATGGTCACATTACCTATTCTAAGCCTCGTGTGGTGATACGGATGTCAATGTTGAAGGTACTTACTCAACTTGAAGTGAGAACTAATACTCATCAATTGCCATTCGAAGAATCCAAGCCCATAGCAAAGAAACCACTAGAGATGATACACTCTGATATGTTTGGACCAGTCAAACAGGCTTCTATTGGTGTTATGAAGTACATGGTGACATTCATTGATGACTTCTCGAAGTATGTGTGGGTTTATTATTTTATGAATAACAAATATGAGGCTCTATCAAAATGCAAAACCTTTAAGAAGGAAGCTAATGCTCAGATTTTCTTCTAGAATAAGATATGCCAAGAATTCACATGTTCTGGCACACCTTAACAAAATGAAGTTGCACAGATGAAGAATCGACATCTTGGAGAAATATGTCACGATATGCTAATGCCCCTAGACAAGCTAATTATGTGCCCGGAGTATGTTAGCAGCTTTCATTATTCTTTTAAACTTTTCACTCATTCACAATGTGTTTGGCAATTGTAGGTAGTGGAGAGGGAAAAAATGGAGTTGAAGTTCAACTTCAATTGAATTGTTTGGATGAGAAATAGATTTGAAGGAAATTGAAGAAAAGTTAGATTTGAAGCAGTATTTTTTTAAAATAAAAGTATAATTATTCCTTAAAATAATGTTTGTAAACAAAATAATTACTTCGTTTTACAAAGAATTTTTTAAATATCAAAGATTGCTAAAAATTAAATCATCTTTTTTCTATTTTACATGGTCAAATTATAATCACTTTTTTAACGCATTTCTATTACTCATTTAATAAAATAATATAATCATATTACTTTTAGTTTTGTAGAACTTATGAATTTTGATATTATATTATGCTATATAAGTTTTATTTTTTTTAATTCTATTCTAATTTTCATATAAGTCTATTTTTTAAAAAAACTTAAAATGGGAAAAAAACTTAAAACTAGAAGCAAATTAGGCGAGGAATGAGAAAAAATAAGAGTGAACTAAATTTCCCTTCCAATTCACTCCAAAAGTGGGGAGACTTTTTATACTCCGCCCTAAAATTAACTTCTTATTTTAATTTTCGAATTTTGACCAATTTTATTTTTAATTCAATTTATTTAATTATTGATGTAAAATTCTAAAGAATTAACCTCCTATTTCAATTTAAGAATTTTGGCAAACTTTATTTAATTTCAATTTGTTTAAATATAGGTGTGAAATTTTAAAGTAAAAAAATATATACATATTATAAAACTACATCAAAAAATTTATAAAACTAGAGTTGACATGACTAAATTACTTTGACTAATGAAAATATGCAAAGAAAATAAATAAAATTTGACCATATGAATAATAACTGAAAAGATAAATTATTTTCCATCTAATGAATAATAACTAATGAAAATATGCAAAGAACGTAAATAAATTATTTTCATTTTCCTCTCATTTCCATCATCTTTCCAATCAAAGAGTTAAAGTTTCTCAATTTTCCTCCCATATCTCTTCTTTCCCACAATTTCCCTCCCACTTCCCTCCAACCAAACATAGCCTAAAAGTAGAGTCACTAGAGTGGAAGGGGGCACCCTAACTTTTCATTCCTAGGATACCAAATGGCCTCAGGTGTGGATTTCAAGGCAACCATACCAATAGAAGAGCAATGTTTCAAAATTTCAAAGGAATTCCATCCATCCCACTTGTCCATTTTTTACTTTTTTTGTCCTTCCTATTGTTTGTCTCACAACATATTTGGTCACATTTGTGTGGCTCAAATACATTGATATTTTATCTTAGGCGAACAGGACTCCCTCACAAACCTTGACTTTCCCAACTTGGCTTATATACTTTTCATCCAATAGGAAACAAATATATATCAATTTGATCCAACACAAAAGTAGAATCCGGATACACTAAAACACGACAAAGAGAACGAAACGGTCATCATTTAAATGCTTATATTTACTGCACAAAATGGGATACGTTCCTGGATTCTTATAAATACTGGACTTTGATATGTCAATTCTATGATTCAAATAATCGTAGTGTGTAACAATATCATAGTTTGAAAATATATTGAATGAATTTCATTACAAGGGAACTATAAAAGAGAGTGGGTTACCTTGCATACCTCAACATTGAATCCACAGTCCATCAAAAAGAGCAACCAAGCACGCTGTTGTTCAGAGAGTCGGTCTCTTGGGCCTTTCACTTCAACAAGTTTTGCTTCGCCTCTGTAGTTGTCGTGGAAGCGCCACAGTAACAAGTCGGGCATCCCACTAGACCAGCTCCGGTAATCTTGGGCCAAATTCCGGCATATTGATGCGGTGCAAGAGCCTCCAATGCAAGCCACAGCTGCTCTGAGTTGGGACAGAGAATGCCTTTCCCACTTTACCCCTCTGCATGATGTCCCTTTATGTAATTCCCATGAAGTGATGAGTATCTCTTCTGCCATCCCACCCTGAATCTTTTCTAGTACTGTTTCTATCTCCCTCTTTCTAACCTCGTAGAAGCTATCAGTCTCCAAATCCAGAGGTGCTGTCTGAGAAAGATGCATTCCATTTCTCAGAAAAATTCCTTGGCAACATGATGGATACAGAGAGCATTTATTTTATACTTTGTAATTTAGTTATTACAAGAACAACATCAACCGACCCAGTAAGATCCCAATACTTTTGTTATTACAGTTTATTCATTAGAACATACTCCCTCTCCTGCAAAAACCTTCTTTGTTTGACTTGCACAGAATTTAATAAACGTGTAGAAAACTAGAAAAGTGAAAAAGCTAAGGTTAAAATTTAGAGTAAACTTTATAATTGATTCTTGGTCCTTTATAACACAGACTTTTCCATATTTAGTCCTCTAATATCAAATATTACTTCCATTGACAATCTTTTTGACTTTTTGTCATGTTGATGTTAAGTTGGGGGCTAAAATTGTAATTTCACATCGACTCCACGTATTCTAATGTCGGCTTGACGTACAACACAACAATAATGACTATGGTTGTGGACTATAATTCTGACCAGAGATGATATTTGTAGACTATGGTTACAGTAGACATCGATTCCAATTGACAAACGACGCATCAACAGCGACCTCTGGCATCGGCTATGATAAGAAAGATATATGATTATTGTGAAATTACGCTTTTAGCCCTTAATTTCACCACAAACGTAATATTTGATTATAGAGGACTAAATATGAAAAACATTTTGTTATAAAAAACTAATTATAGAATTTACTCTAACATTTATTTAGATGAGCGAGAAGGGTTGTGAGCTATTAATTCCTTCTCATCTCATTTTATGCCACCAAACAGCATTTAGTTATTGAGAATATATAGTACCTGAAACTTAGTGCAAAATACATTTGGAACATCGGCAAATATAGCATCCCACATCAGAAGCCCAAAAAGGGTTAACCAAATACCACTTTCCGTATGAACACCCTGCCAGCTACCTCCTTCTCCAGCATAGTATTGGAGAGCAAGTTGTTCTACCCCACACCGTTCACCATCTTCACCATAAAATGTACTCTTCATCCCCATTTTGCAGTTCAGCGGCCTGCCTTGAACAAGGACCTGGAATCATAAGATCAATATATATAATATATAATAACCCAAAAGTATTTGAATGGTGAGACAAAATGACCGTCAATATGCATAACAATGCAAAGTACTTGACATCCTCCACAAAATATACCTCAGGAATTTTCCTTTTTAAAGATTTACAATAGCTTGGTGTTTTCCAGCGCCGTGGGGGCTTACCCAACCGCAGAACCCGCTGTTGCAGGGACAACTTTGAGCCAGCACGGACCCACGGATCCAATAACCCATCTTCAGCAACTTGAAGGCTCTCATCGGGACACCCAACATGCTCCAGGTCAATCGAAAGTCTCAGAGTCCAATATCCCCTTCTCCTGTCATTTTTGAAACTATCTAGCAGTTTCCTGAGTAATATGATTGCATCATTGTACCTTGCCAAGTAAGACACACGTAGGTAAAAGTTGCATTTTTATAACAATAATTAATACGGAGTACTGTGTTCTGTTACTTTCAGGGAAAATAACTTGTTGGGGAAAATAATTTCCATGGATGATACTTTCCTTGAGTGTTTTCATTGTTCCATGTATAATGTTTGTCCCGCAAAAACAGGAAAATGACTTTCCCTACTAAAAGTAAAAATCTGCACCATTGGAAGTGTTTTCTATTTTCATGAGCCAAACATAAGAAAGTCTAAAAATGTTTCCAGAAAAAATATTTCCATGTAAACCAATATAACCAGTACAAATATTGATTATGTTGTGCTCAGATATGTGGGGACTTCATTCATGCACATTGCTCAGGTTCTGGAAATGCCAGTAGTAATTATCAAGGTGTTCAGCCAGAAATGGCTATAAACAAAATGCACAATGTTGTTGAAAAGTTATGGGAATCGTAACTTCCAATGATGAGAATCATATTCTTCCAGGCATTTAGCTTCAATAAAAAGTCATTTTCACGAGCGATAAAGTAACGAATATCCCTTTGACCATTATGCCCAACCAACATACCTTCGTTCATGCTCAAGAAAAGAAACACCTAATAGGACCACTTTAGAGTAGATAAATGCAGAGGTGAAGCAAGACAAAAAAGCAGCCATAGAGTCAGAACTCGATAACCCCTCTTCCTTTAAAGAGATTGAAATGTGAAAGACAGAAATGTCTATGCATTTTGACACCATCTCAGCATTGTCTTCATCAAGATATTCGTCTATTATTTGAGCAACCTCGATAGCCTGCAAAAGTATCTCTCTTTGTAAAAGGTAAAGAAAAATATGCAGCATTAATTTTCAAAGCATGACAGCCATACCATTTCATAAGAAAGCAGTTGACTTCGGTTTGGAAACATTTGGTTCATGAATGTACACTTGTAAGTGGGATACTTCACAATGCCCAAGTCCACAAGTAAAAATGAGGACAAATCCTGCTCCCCATTCAAGAAAAAGAGTCTCTACATGAAGTCCAGAAGAGAATCTGTCAATCAAATATGCTAAATTTGCATTTGATATATAATAAGCTATCTTAATGAAATATGTGTATATTACTTCTGCACGCCAAAAGAGAGACTCAGTCAATGCAGATATCTGAATGCATGATCCAGCTTTTATGGAAACCAACTTCAGGAGATCCGGGCTGCATCATTATTTTGGGAGCAATTTATTTAAACAACAAACAGGGAGAAACAATGCAACAAGTAGCTAATCCAAGAGACATAATACCAAAAACCATCTTTGTATATGGAAAGAAGGACATCAACATAATCCTGCTTTCTAGTACCATGACCAAATCTTTTTGAATTCTTCCTATTTCCCCGAGCAGCACATTGCTTGTTTCTCGCAAAACAGAAACATAAATTAATTCACAATTCAAATCATATTTTGGCATTTTGATCAGTGTAAACATACGTCAATAGAAATGGATAATGAGAAACATTGGTTAATTCATACTTTAGCCTTTGAGCAGTAAGAAGCGGGAAAAAAATTACTCAAGCAAAAACTTTAAACCAAGGTATTTAAGTTTGCTAGTGTCACTTGAGCACGATAAACAGGTTCTGTATAATCCCAAAGAAAGGTTTGTGCAGTTGAGTTTTTAAAATATCAGGTTGCCTGAGACCACAATACTAGTTGTTCTAAATAGAATCCATGATAACATGTCAAATTCAAGTATATGAACAAAATGGCAAAATGGAACCAAGAAATGTATGGCCCGTATCTGTCCACAAAGTAGGTCTTTTTCTTTGTAGTCATCAGAAGCCATTGTAATTTAGGAGCATAAACTACGGAATCAACCCAACTCAGATAGAAACCATCCATAAAGCTCCAAGTATTATTTGGTTGGAAGAGGTTATAATGCTCTGTTTCTAATTTAAGATTTTAAGTGATTATAGGACCAGAAGCCGACCCCGCCTAGTGGGATAAGGCTGGTTGTTGTTGTTGTTGTTATATGACCAGAAGTAGTATCCGGTATCAAGTTCACAAAACTCCAACAAACCAACTAAGAAGATCTGTGAGCCTCATGAAGTAGTATTGATCATTTATTTATTTATTTATTTTGCTTAAAAGGGTTGTACTGATCAAACATAAAAATAAAAGAATCCTTAACCTACTATAAACTGTTATGTCAGAGACTGGAGAAAAATTAAAGTTGCAAGAAAGGTCAGTTTGGCAGTTGGATTTTGGAGGGCTAAGTATATGTCTCCACATATATTTAACATTTTATAAAACCATGAAATACCATAATACAGAGTGTGTGAAAATAGTACTTGGTGTAATACAATATTTCTATCAGCATTTATCTATTTTAGAATCATTATATTTACTATTATATAGACATAAACTAAACCTTCCAAAGCCTTCCCCTTGAAATCCATCCATCCAAACATACCATAATAATAGAAATGGAGTATTCTTAGTCCCTAAAGTGGATTTGAAAAAGATATCTTAAAGATTATCAGTTTATCACAGTGATGGTGTTTCAAGCTCACAAGCTGAGAATTGAAAGATGAGATGGGATATAGTGGCATTAAAGCCCCCATCAATGAAATGGACAATGAAAGTGTGGGGCCTCCAAGTTATTATAAATGTTTATATTCTCACTTCAGAGCTAAGAGTCCTCTATTTGTACCTTGTTGATGGTATGAAGGGACACCCAAAAATCACACAATTCGGTTAACATGGCTGGATAGTGCCATCTGTCTACACGTAGAAGGCTCGGCATCAAGCAGAGGTTGACTCCATTAGTTAACTGCTTCCTGTGCGGTTGAACTCTCACCATGTCTGATCCGATTGGCTCCCGTATCCTATTTCTCAATCATCCACATGTAAGTGATCCTATACTACTTGGGTGCTAGCCGGCCTTTGGGGTAAGGCACTCACACTCAATGAGGCTGCTAAGGCCTCATTCTAAACAAGACTCCTCTGGTTACTTGGGCCCACAAGCCAAACCACTTGGGTCGAGTTGATATATTCCATCATACACAATTCACCATAAAGGTATCGCAAATTTGGGAGGAAAAACATGAATGACATGCATTTAATTGCATTTTTTTATTCACATAAAGAATAATGGAGAAAACCTTGGGTAGAAATAATCCTCAAGTATTATTGTCAAAACATTTCTCGTATTACAATGTTTTTATCAGAGCTACACTACTTTTTTATCCATAATTATTCAATTTTTTCCAAATATAGTTCTCAATTGTGTCACATCATTACATTGTTAAACTTCATAGTTCGTAGCCCATCAGCCTGACCTTTTATTGCTATTTTCATCAATTATCCGCTAATGTATCCTATCAATGTGTGAAATTATGCTCATCTCAAACTAGTTTAGCAAATGGTTGAATTAAACAAACAAAAGGCATTGAGTCAAATGGACAATGGGCTTAATGCACAACAATGTGGCATAACTAAAAGTAAATATAATCTAGGAACCAAAAAATATATTTGTGCATAGTTCAATGACCAATAATGCAACATTTACTTTTGCTTGTGTGTGGGTGGTTGGGGGTGGGTGTGACAGACCTCATTAACCATATGCAAGATTTCACGTATTTCGCCAACATTAAGAACATTCAAGACCTCCTTGACATCAGTGGCTTCGCTTATTGATTCCACAGGTGTAACATAGCCTCCTACTGTATGGATATGGAATGGGGGAAGGGATCTTAGATGATTGTAACTGAATCCGAGATAGCAAAAATTCCTTAGGGTTACAAAAAAAACTTTACCAGAAAGTCCATGTACTGCTTCATTGCAATCAGATACTTCTGGATATGATGCACTCGACATACGAAACCATGGTCCTGAATATAATGGTATAAATGAAAAACTTAATGATGCACAAATGCAGATTTGTTGAAATTGGAAAACATATGCTACTACAAGTTGCAAAATGGTGAATATATATTTGCCAGCATAAAGAGTAGAAGCATTTAGTTTTTTAAAGGCATGCAAAACTAAGATTGCAGGAAAGAGTGAGGACCTTTTCGTGTATAAAGCCGAGCAAAAAGCCTTTGACTATCATCTGACAGTGATAAGAAACCTTCTGTTGACAAAAATTGGATCAGACATGAACACAAGTTTGGAAGCATGCCAAATATTGGATCAAGTCAAGCATGAACACACATTTGGAAGCATACCAAATATATTAAGTTGAAAACACAACTAAAAAGATTTACATACCCAAGAAAGTCTTTTCTGTGTCTATAAAAAGATGATGGTATGCCTTTAAAACTTCCTTTAGCAAAACCTGGAGGTTATGCTGATATGCAGTACCAGGAGGATGAGCCTTTGCGGATTCAGCAACACGGAGAGCATTTCTCCATGAACACTTTAGAAAGTTAATAATATTGCTCTCTGTCTCATCAAAACATATATTGCATTGACAAGTTATTTGAACCGGGACCACAGCATGCGGGTGTGTTGGAACAGAGATTACGTGGCCCTGATGAGTATCCATCGGTAAAAGGTAAAATAAATGAAATTGTATGGGACAGCTTAGAGGTTTAATTGATATTTAACAGCAAGTGCAACATGTTTGGATCTGTTGAAAACAAGGTGTTAGTTACTCCATCCTACATAGGTTATAGCTCATTTTATTTTTAGTTGAAAATCATAAAATGATACTCCCTCCATACCCAAAAAAAATAAATCCACATTTCCTTTAGCTTTGTCCCAAAATAAAGGTATGTTCTACATTCCTTTTAATGAAATAATTACATGGCTCATCTTATTTATATCTCCTTGGCATAGATTTCAACCACCAAAATTTCACCTTCCTAATTAACCGTGCACAATAAAATGCGGAACCTTATTTTTGATGGAGTGAATATGCCAATATATATGTAGATTTTTATGCATGTGAGTATCAAATATTGGGAAAGGATAACCAATATTGTTGGCTATGAATTGAGCTGTTGTGGAAATATGCATGTCAGCATGAAATTGCAGTGGTTGGGAAGTACCTCAAATATCAAGTTGAACTTTTCTATCAAGGGCGATAAATGATAAGCCAATTCACGGGGAAGAAATCCAATTGTCTGATCGTATCCACATTCTGTATAAAGCACCTGATTTCCAGGTGAAGAAGGGCACTATAAGTACATAGATTATAGAAGCTGTCCAATTAGTGGAATCCCATGATGATTAACCTTGATTGCATTCAGATCCTTGACATTTTCACGGTCTCTTGACAATAGTATTCTCGCACCATGTTTCAACTCTATTTCTTCACCAAACTTACGGCCAACTATGTATGTATCAAGAGACAGTTCAGATAAGTCATCACTGTCAAAAGACTCAACATTATCCTCTATAAGCATCTCATTTTCTGGGATCAATGAATGATAAATGCAGTTCTCATTGATCTTGTCACCATTCATTTGATTTTCTGTACAACCTTCTAGCATACTTGTGTATGATGAATGTGAATCATCATCGTGTCTTTTAACATCATCAAACTGATCCAAGTCTAAAGCAGTGTTACAAATTGCTGTGCTCTCTACCTTGCAAACAGCTCCATCATGATTTTCAACCACATCTATGCCGCCCAGCCCATGCACGGTATCCAAAATAGTGAAGTCATTTCTTCCTTGATCTTTGCTTGTCTCTGACTCATTAGCCTGTAGTTTAACTTTTGAACTTGAGCAAAAGTTCAGCTGAAGCAGGGTGCGTTGGCTTAGCTTGCGCTTTTTTCCTTTGGAAAGACATTTATCTGACAATTTTGACACATAAGTCCTAGTTCAAACACCACAGAAGCATAATAAAAGACAAACAAAGTTCCTTTAAGCTAAATAAATGCATTGAGGTGTCATCAGGATTTCAAGAGTTTCATTTCTTATTTCTTGACAAATGATATTTGCATCACAAAGTAATCCAGCGATTAGACTATTGGAGACTGCACTTAGAGCAGCATCACTCTTAAGCTACCAAATACTCCGTAATTTAATTTATTTGTTTCTTGATTCATAACATTTATGGTTTTCCCATTGATTCAACACTAACTACACTGCCTAGAAAAGCAATTCAGCATGTGGACGATTGCAGTGCAGTAATAAAGTAGAAAGCCAGCAACAAAACCAAGAACAGACCCAAATTCAAATCTTAATACAAGCAATACGGAAGACTCTTCTTCTATGTTACTTTCTTGTCTTTGAATTCTAGAAGGAGCATACAACCTAAATGCGAGTTGATTACGTGATCTTTGCCGAGAACTCTGGCCCCGCAAACCGGGCAACTAATCCATTCCGCGCCACGGTCATCACTTCCTTTTCCATTTTCACCGCTCTGGTGTTGATGAGGATCTGGTTCAAAGCCATCGGCCGTCTCGTCCTGGCTCGAGGAACCCTAGATGAAATGAAATCTTTCAGCCACTATATTAGCTTTCGTGAATCTCTGCCAGTGCGTGTAAGTATACCTGGGCGGCGGGTGATGAGAGGATGAGATTGCGATTGGGAAGAAACCTGCGGCGTCTACCGATCAATCTTCTGATGCTTTCACGGCCTTTTAGCATTGCAGTAGAGTAGAGTGGATGATTTTGTTTCGAAAGAACCCTAATTTTATTTTATGCGGTGTATATGCGTGGTAGCGTCCGCCGCACTCTCGGTTCTATGGTGCGTGCTGGCGGGAACGGTTATAACCAGAGCAGTATTCCCCCGCCATTGCAAATTAGGGTATTCAATCCGATCCAATCAGATATCCGAATGTTTGAAGTTTAGGTAAACATAAATGAAGTACAATAAATAATTGCAAATAAATGAAGTACAATAAATAATTGCAAATAATCTAAAATGTTACTTTTAATTTTATAAAATTATATTTATAGTTTTTAATATTATATCATCATCCTATAAAAATTGAAATATTTTTTCATAATTGAAATATTTTTATTTCAAAAATAAATCAATTTAAGAGTCACCCATATAGAAAGTAGTACTATTTTATGAAGAATAATATGCATAGATAGTCTTTCTGGTCTTTTATAAATGGGTAAATAATCCTCGAACATTTAAAAATTATGAAATAGTTCATGTAGTCAAAGAACTGTTGCGTAGTTAGTCATTCCTTTAAGGGAAAATTGAAAACGCAAAACATACGTGTATTATAAAAAGATGTGAATCATGTAACAATAAAAAAAATTAGTATGGAGTTGGTAATTGTGATTTGTAAGCTAGCTTGAATCGTAGTAAAGTTTCTTCTGTCTTGTAGTTTAACTCTGAATTCAACTTTTCATATTTTCCATGGTAGTCTTTTCGAATAGTAGTACAATGCTCTTAACTAGGTCCATATAATTCCATATTCCAAGCAATTTTATTTTAGGATAATATTATATACTGTAAGAGGTGGAAGAAGAGTCTTCCATGCTTTAAATCACAAGGCACTGGTAATTTCGTGAGATTGGGGAAGACCACAATGACTATTTTGTATAAACTACTTTGAATCTTTTAAAAGTACAAGGATTATTTTGTATAGACTATTTTTATTTTAGGATAATATCTTTGGTCATATAGACTACTTTGTATCTTTTAAAAGTACAAAGACTATTTAACAACTTAGGAAAGACCACACTGACTATTTAATTATTTATGCATTCACTCTTTTGGAAAATTAGTATAAGGTTTAGCGTTTTTAATGTTGTTTAAACGATTGTTAGTCGAGAGAACTAAATTGAGCATTATTCTCAATTAATGAGTATCAATTCTAACTTAAAATTTACTCTAAGAGCCCGTTTGGTGAGTCTTGGAGATATGATAAGATATAAGTTATGAAATCAGAGAAAAATGATACAGGGTTTTGAAATCTAAAATGAATTTATTTAGAGAAATTTAAAATTATGATTTAATTGGTGATAAGGAGCGTCACTGGCAACGGAGATGGTTGTGAGTAATAATAATAGTCGGTGACGGAAAACAATTAATGGTTGAGAGAGATATCAAACCTTCATATTGATATTTCCCAAATACTAAATATATCGAAACTCTTTATTTGAAAGATTTATAATATCTGAAGATATCGAATTCGATGTCTTTTTTTAGCTTCACCGAACACTAAAAAATAATTTGGATATCTGAAAATATCAAAATCGATATTTTGTTTGAAAAATGCTAAAGTCACAAACAAATAGTTCACAAAACTCCACGAACTTGTTTTTTAAAATATCTTTTATTTTTTAAATATATCTTATTTTTTAAAAAATGTTAAAAATACAAGTTCGTGAATTTTATGAATTATTTATTTGTTGCCAACAAAAACTAGGCTCGCACCCTAAAAACAACTTTGATTTCGAGTTTCTAACTCCCAAGTCCCAACAAAAGCCAGAGGGTCGCACCCTATTTAGGACTTGGGAGTTGGGAGTTGTAGCATCTTTGACTGGAAGTCCCCGGGAATCGATTAGGGGGCAGAGCCCTCTCACAAGTCACAACACAGCGATGCCGGCGTTTGAATTCTCCGGCAGAAGAAGTCCTGGCCGCCGGCGCTGCTGCTGTTTCTTCACGGTGTTTCTGCTTATAATTATTATTATTATTCCAAGCGCGAGGGGGGCAGGAGAAGGGGTGATCAGGGTCAATTACAAGTTCTCCGGTTCGGAGCGGACTCTCACTGCCCTAAGCGCGCACGACGACATGCGCCATCTCCGTTTCCTCTCCGGCGTCGACCTCCCCATCGGCGGAACCGGCCGACCTGATTCTGTCGGGTACACATCAATCCATGTCTCTTTAATCATCTCTCATGACTATGTCTTTTTTTTCTAGAGGATCAGTCTAGGAGTTTCTTGGAGTTGATCTTCTCAATGCCTTGGTTTTTGTAGGCTTTACTATGCCAAAATTGGGATTGGAACTCCGGCATTGGATTATTATGTGCAAGTAGATACAGGGAGTGACATTATGTGGGTTAATTGCATTGGATGCACAGAGTGCCCTAGAAGAGGTTACCATGGCGTAGGTCCTTTTCCTCATATATATGGTTCAGTCTATGCTTTGGTATTGTTCTTTTGATTGTCCCTTTGTTATCATAACAATTCTTATATTCTCTCTTTTGACAGATGGAGCTGAGTTTCTATAATCCAAAGGATTCTCTTACTGGGCAATTAATTTTATGTAACCAGAAATTCTGCAAGGACATGTTAAGAGACACAGTTGCGAGTTGCTACGGCAATACATCTTGCTATTACACTGAAGTTTATGGAGATGGAAGTTACAGCATGGGCTACTTTGTAAAGGATATCGTACAGTATGATCAAGTGTCAGGTGATCTCCAAACTAAATCATCAAATGGAAGTGTTATTTTTGGGTGAGCGCACATAGACATTATCCTTTATAAGTTACTTATGTACTATGTAGTTTTGCGTATAAATTTGTTTAAATGTTTAAAACTGCTCTATTCTCAAATACGTTGAACTAGGAAGCACCATCTTTGGATTATTGGGTTTTTAATATTTCTTTACTTTAGAAATACTGTGTCACAGACTAGTGTAAACACTTTGTTTATGTGTCATTTTTTTATGATTTGGCAGGTGTGGTGCAACAGAATCTGATGACCTGAGCTCATCAGATGATGCGCTTGACGGGGTCATTGGATTTGGGAAATCCAATTCATCCATGATTTCACAGTTGGCTTCTTCTGGTAGAGTGAGAAAAATGTTTGCGCATTGTTTAGATGGTGTGAACGGAGGAGGTATTTTTGCCATTGGCCATGTTGTTGAACCAAAAGTAACTATGACACCCTTGATACTGAACCAGTATGCCAATTCTACCTTTCCCCTAGCTAGTATGATTATCTAATTTGGATTGCATTATACATTGACATTTGTTTCTAACATAGTATATGTGATCTTGTTATTATACTCCCTCTCTGTCACAAAGAACTTCAAACTTCTCTTATTTGGATGTCCCAAATTAAACTTCGCACTTCTCCATCAGATAAATATACGGCTCACAACAATTTTTTTCTTTTCTAAAATCTAAACAATTCCAGTCACAATTTCAATTTTCAACACTTTTCCTAAACTTCAGTCAAAGTGTGAAGTTCTTTATGAGACAGAGGGAATATTATTAATATCATATAGAATTATATAATTAAAAATTTAAAATCAATCAATGCAGCCTGGTTTGCATCAGATCCAAAAAAGAAGACATCCGTTGTACAAAGATTGTTTTGTGGTATAACTTTATGTTAAAACATATTTAGAAAACAAACACTGATTTGGGGGTACAAGATTAAGTGTTAGTACCCAATGGCTTTTTATCCATAAGAGTCACGCGATTGGCATTTCTTTAATGTACTCAAAAAGTGTCTGTGAACAACTGTATTTGATTTTTTTTGAATGTAATTTTGGACATGCTCTTCCATATTATTCATTTACTGTTCTAATAACAAAAAATGTGAAATTCATTCCATGTATGCATTATGGACTGTCCTGTGTGAGTTTTTTTTACATGTTATTTCGTTTCTTCTTTTAAGTTCTCTTTCTATAAGCATTTTGTCTTTGTTTTCCAAGCTACAATTTTTTATCCTGAAATTTTTGTTTAAGACCCCACCATCTCTTGCATGAATATTTTAGGTCACATTACAATGTCAACATGACAGCAGTCAGAGTTGGTCGTGAGTTTTTAAACCTCTCAACATATCTATATATGGACGGTGACAATCGGGGAGCAATAATTGATAGTGGAACTACATTGGCTTATCTTCCAGAAGTCATATATCACCAACTAGTGAAAAAGGTTCTTTAATAATGTCTAATATAATTTGTTGCATCATATTCAATTTAGATTGGATAAACCTGAATGAATCTTACCGCCTTTGCATCATCATCATCATCTTGTTTTAGATACTCTCCTGGCAGCCTGGTTTGAAATTACGCACGGTTAATGATGAATACACGTGCTTTAAGTTCTCCGAAAGGTATACATTGTCCTAGATCTACCTCTTTTATATTTCGTGTCAATGAATGATGTGAATTAATCCAATCTGACATTATTTATGCCTATTATTGTTAAATGTCCTAGTTCTTATATGTTTACAATGTAATGTTGTAGATTGGCTTGTTCAACATTTTTTCCTTATACTGAATACTCCGTATTATTTTAGAAAAACATTCAGAAACAAAAGTACTATTTACTTGATTCAGCTACCTGTATTTCTCTTTTGCTCTCTAAAGCATTCATTGCCGATGTAGTTATAAGAGTCATCTTGACAATATTTTAGCTTTGGTAAAATAATGAACTAAGTCAAGGTGGCGTAATAGTTTAAACTTCCATTTTCTTACTTTCTTTAGTATTTCGGGCAGTAAATGTGGTAATGCTTAAAGGGTCTATTGGAAACAGCCTCTGTGTAATACAGGGTAAGATTTTGTACATCTTGACCCTAGATTTTAACGAAGTTGGCATTATACTGGGTTTGTTGTTGATGTTGTTCTTTCTTATTATCTAAACAGTTCTGTACTATTAATTTGTTTCACTGGTGTAGATATCTCCAAGGTTCCTATATTAGGCTGTTAAAAGTTGGTAGTTATGCTGGCCATATATAGTGTAAACTTGGTATAC